GCAGGTGTTTGGTGCACGAGTGAGCAGGCAGGAGCACGATGAGGGGGGCAGTGAGGTGACTGGTTCCTCCTCTGGGCCCGAACAGTCCTCTCCATCGCTGTCCACACCCAGAAGGGGGTCAGGGCTGCTGGGTGGTCTGCAGCCTGCACTGATTTCGGGAAGGGCCATCCGTGCCGGCCTCCAGGTGAGCTAGAAGCACGACAGGACTGCCTCCCTCTCCGCAGCCACCTTTCCTGGAGGGGCTGGGACAGGTAGAGGCCCTGGGGAACCGGGGCCCCAGGGAGAGGACGTTGTTTCCCATTTTCTAAGATTCTGGTGAATTTGGAGCCAAGCTGAGCCAGATTCTGGGAAGGCCTGCGTCTTCAGGGAGGGAACCTTCAGAGGAAAGGGAGGGCGGGGCTGTGATAAAGCCACAGGCTTCCACTTCCCCTTCTGACTCCACGCCTGTCTGTCCTGGGGTGCAGCCCCAGAGGAGCCAGCTGACTGTGCTGCGCCCCGAGAGCTGCACCAGGGGCCATGGGGGTCCCTTCCGTCCTGTCACTCCCTGCTGCAGCGAGTGGCCAGGCTGGCTGTCCCCCTCGCTGTCCCTGGGGGCACTTGCTACTACTGTGCGCGGCTCTGCTATTCCCAGGTGAGTCAGGGTCGGGGCAGAGGGAGGGATGGGCCTGGTGCCACCTCGGTCGGTCCTTCGGTGGGTCGGTCGGAGTTGCGCTCGGCCAGGATGAGGCTGGCGTGGGAAGCAGTCAGCAGATGGAGACCGAGCCCTGGCAGCCTGCTGGCCTCGCTGAGTGCCACAGTGGCAGAGCTGGGGTTTTGCCTAATTCTCTTGGGCCCCGTCTCTGAGGATCCGCCAGCCCCACATCAGAACCCGCTCGGAGGAGTCCCGGGACCAGATGGGCATGGCTCGGGCGGGCGCTCTGCTTCCTCAGGAAGGTGTTTCCAGGGACCGCATCTCAGGGGAAGGTCATGGTGCCGCAGATGGCGAGGGAGGAAGCTGTCAGGCACGTGGCGGGCAGTGGCGATTCTCTGTCCTCCTGAATCCACGTCAGGCATCGAGCCCTTCCCTTCCCCTGGGAGAGGCCGGGGAGCCCTTCCCTTCCCCTGGGAGAGGCCGGGAGGCCCGGGAGCCAGGCTCCTGCTAGGCACACACCACCTGCAGCCGCTCAGCGAATGTGCCGGGGGCGGGGGGAGGGGAAGCAATGGGATCAGTGTGGCTACGGCCCTGTCTGAGCGTGCATCCCACCGAGGGTGTGAGCACAGGGAGCAAACACAGAGGCACAAACAGGAAGGCACGAGGCGTCAATGGGGCGCCCTGATAAGAAAGCCTAATGTGGGAGACAGAGCAGCTGCTTGAGCCGACACGGAGCTTCCCGAGGAGGCCACGCTTCCGCGGGCCGGAGCTGCATCCAGCCCCTCGAGGCAAAGGAGGCAGGCTCAGAGC